AAAGAAAAGAAATACCCAATTATGAACTTTGTGTGGGTGTAAGGCAAACTTTGGAAAATGTAAAAGTGCATAATAAAGGAAATTAAAATTCTACTCTGTGGTAGGAACCACGACTAGAGACACACGTGCTTATTCTTTCAAGTCTGTCCTTTTGCACATACAGACCGACAATGTTACACCAGGGAGATGTTATCTGCCTTGAAAGCCTATGTTTTCTAGTGTGATGAGGTATCCCTTTCACTGATGAGTTTTAATGATGGCCTAGTATTCCATCTGAACACTAATATGCTTTGCTTCAAAAATTAAACAAAAACATAGTCTGATCAACCTGAGATACTGATGAAGTTCAGTGGCCTATATTTTCTATCACTCTCCCTGAGTTATATGAGAAAAACCAAGAAGAGAGATGATAAAACAGGGATAAAGAAAGTTAACTCTGCCTGGGAATCTACAATAATATCTAACCCCATTCTATACATTTTTACATGGCCAATTATTAATTTTTATCTGTGATAATTATAGACGTTGATGTGGATTTACCAATTTCAGAGAAAGATGAAAAATGAAGGCTCTGTTAATGTTGGCATCTCAGATTACCCCTATTTTATGTACTAATAAAATTTATAGGAGCTTGGAGTGGTGGCACATGACTGTAATGCCAACACTCAGGAGGCTGACGCAGGAGGAACTCCAGGAATTCAAAGCCAGCTTGGGCTACGTACTGAGTTCAAGTCTAGCCTGAACTGCATAGTAAGACCCTGTCTCAAAAAAGACAAACAAACAAATAATCTAAAAAAGAGGAGGTGGGAGGAAAATATAAGAAGAAAAACTGTCTCTGGAAAAAACTTATTCTACCAGATACTACACTGAGTCTTAAAAGATAAAGCCATTTCAGAAAAGGCAAAAGATCTAACAGTTGCATTCAAATCCTATGACTCTCTGCTCCTTAGTCAGTAGAGGCTAGAATCACAGATTGGCAGCCAATCTGCAGGTTTAATCCTACTCTGCAGATGGCCAGGGCATTAGGTATCTGTGCAAGCGAGGGGGGACTGAAGAGACCTGGAAGAAAGATCTCCCTGGATCTGCATCCCTTCTTTTCTATTGCTGTGCCTGACTCCCTTGGAATTACAGTATCATAACAGATGGTACTCCCTAGCCTGCCATTTTTCTTGTAGCTATTTTTACCTCAAGACCACATCAATTTGCAACTTGGTTTGAAGTCTGGTTAAACCAGTAACCTAATTATTACCTTTGAACTCCACCATTCTCATAAGGACCTTATTATAAGCTATTTAAATACGAACTATATGCTGCTCCTTGATCTTTGTAAAGTTACCTGGGTTTTAGGTTAGGAACAGACAACTTTCAAATCAATATCCACATTCTGTTTAAGGATCTTTGGACAATTAGTGGCTTCTTTAAAATCCTTATCTAAATAATCCTTGGTCTCCTAATTCAGTGCTTCTTTTCCAGGCATGTTTTATTTAGTGTCTTATTTTTCTATACATAGAACTTAACACTATCTGGAATTATCTCATTTCTAAGTTTTCTATGCCTCTCACAACATAACTTTAATAAATAAACAAACTATATTTGTTAGGGATTTTACTGCTGCATCCATGTTCCCATTCCTAGCAAAATCAATCACAAAACTTATCAACATGTATAAAATCCATATTTCATTTTATCATGTTCCTAGCCATTTGTTTTCCACTGATTACCAGCCATTAAGATATAAACTGAAGAACAAGACTTCCCAGTATCAAATAATGAATTCAGTGATCAGCATCAACACATATCCTTTGACAAGGATTGCTACCTAATGATTTGGATTTATAATGTATGTGATGTACTTAAATTTTTGAAATCATATTCTACTAACTGAAGTTAATAAAGGGTGGCAAAGACGACATTAAAAGCATCACTGAAGTTGGGCATGGAGGCACACACCTGTAAACCCAGCACTTGGGAGGCTGAATCAGGAGGATCGCTGTGAGTTCGAGACCAGCATGGACTACATAGTGAGTTCCAGGCCAGTCTCAACTATATAGTGAGACCCTGTCTCAAAAAAACCAAAAAAAAAAAAGCATCACAGAGAGTGCTAAACCTAAAGTATTTCATAGACTTTTTTTTGTATCACTGAAGATTTCTTTACACATTTTCTACAATAGTTTGAAGAAGGAAATAGATCTGGATTTTAAGGAAAGATCTCTACTTTCAAACATCAGCTTTGTTGAAAGCAATTTTATTAAGCCATACACAAAATCAATATTTTCTTAGGTTTTACTTATTCCTTGTTTTTTTGTGAAAATTTAAAGATTATCCTTAATTCAAAGAAATAAAACAAATATGAACGCAGAGTTGCAGTTGTAAGGATAAATTATTTAATTTAAATGCAGTTAACCATTCAAAATACACCGAGCAGTGGACACGAGGTATTCACTTTTTCAGTGATGCTTATCTAGTGCTATCTAGACATCGTCAGCCAAATTATCTTGCTGAACTGACTGAGCATCTCCTACCCCGTGTACTCGCATAAAGATGTAGCAGAAGAACTTCAGAAAGTTATAATGATTTCATAGCAGCACACAGACAAGGGAGAAACAATGTCCATAGAAAATAACTTATGCAAAGCAATGTAACACCAACAAAAATGATTAATGAGATTGTTTGTCCAATGTAAAGAGCAATACGACTCAGATTCTCAATTTATTTAAATACTTTGGTAAAGCATATAGAATAACGTATTTAAAAATTGGGTAGAAAAAAGTCTCCTATGTTGTTTTATTTTTTTGTTTGAAATCATTCCTTTTCACATCTGATTAAATAAATATGTAGTCCTTTAATAATGAAAATATATTAAGAAGCAATTTTTCACTAATTATCCATTACTATGTGAATAAAAGTTAACTATGCAATAAATACAACTGAAGAATTTCTGGGGTTAAAATAAACTTAAAGAAAAAGGGGACACTAATATACAGTAAAACCTGAGAGGATTTTTAAAATGTTTTTTTAAAAAATTCTTCAAAAACAGCATAATTGAAGACTTTAAAATTCTAATAAGCCTAACAGTTTAAGGAGTATGTCTTCTAAAATCAATAATGTAATTCTTTGAAGACCTTAAACAATTTTTTTAGTAAACTTGTGTTCATTTGTTGGGTATTTCTCACCATTTGATAAGATAAAATTATTTTTAAAAGGACTTTAGTGTAGTTTTTGAATAAATATAGAAGAAAATTGATTTTTTTAAATGGAAGAAAATAATCACGAATAAATCTTTGCAACTACCAATCCCTTAATTCTGCGATTTAACCAAAAATATAGGTTACAGTAGCATTGCTATTGAACTTGATTAATCTATCATAATAGGTAAGATAGGCCTTTGAACAGCTGGTTTATTTTACTTGAAATGAAATGCAGGTTTCTGCCCTGGTGTGCTGGGTCTGAAAAGTGGGCTGCCTTCTCTCCCTGACAGCCAGCCTCTCATCCGCCTGAGCTGCCAACCTCAGCTCCCCCTTCTCTAGCCATCACACAGGAAGGCTTGTTCTGTGCTCAGAAATGCACCACCGTGCTCTAACAGATCTTCACCTTGCAGATGTCCTGTGAAAAAGATGAGAAGGGACTACAAGCTCCGCTTAAAAAGCAAAGATGTATAGATTCTCAGGTAGTGAGAGTTCTGGTCAGTGAGACAGGAGTTCCTCCTACCTCTCAGTTCCCTTTCTGAAGACAAATTCTTCATTTTATTTCTGAAACAATCTGAAAACTCTAGGAGGTGAAGTATAGTGTTACTAGTATCGCCATGAAAGTTTGAGTTTTCGCACTTGCACCTGTTTCTCAATAGCTGGGAGAAAAAACAAAAACAAAAAACCTAGACTCTCATTTACAGCACTATTTAGCTCTATTTGTGATTTTTAAAATGTTGAAAATAAATATTATATAGAGTTATTGTCACAATAAGTTATACCATACAATTATTTTGATCAAACAAAATAAATTTGCAACATATTCACGAAACTGTGTGCTTGGAACCTCAACCCATTCAAAACAAGTGCAATGTATGTATATTTAAATTTATCCCAAAACTTTAGAACGTATCTCTATTAACATGTAAAAGTTTTTATATTATTAAATTGTATCTGGTTTCTATACGTTGAATATGTGCATATAAAAATCTATAAAATTGAGTTATAATGCAGATCCACTGCTGCTCTTTCAATCCATTTTAGAACTGTGAGAGAAAGAAAATATATATTGTCTAAGTAGTTCATATGAACCCTGTTTTTACTCTTCTTAAATCCAGAGAGTTTCCTAATGGTGTTTTTGCAGTGGAACTTGATTCAAGCACGAGACACTTCCCAGTCACTAGCAAAATAGCGAGCCATTCCAAGTACACGCTTTGCATTCATCCTTGGACAGAGTTATACATCCTTCCATGTAACAGATCTGTATAGTTTCTGAAGTAGGTCAAAGCTTGGATTTAAAGTTAAATCCGAAGTGTCAAAGATTTGTCCATAAAATCAATATGAAAGTGTAAGGGAGTATTTCTGAGTAAGACAGAAGAAAACAAGAACCTTAGAGGTACCATAAAGAAACATGCAACGAAGCTCTACATGTAGCCAGTTTCCAGTCCAAAGAGTAGAAAATTAAACATATGTGCAGCCACAATGATTAGCAACAAAATGCAATCCCTTCATTAGAAGGAGTGACAGGCACAGACCCATGGGCAGAGTACTTGTAAATCCCTACTTAAGAGAAAAAGCCCTCTCATCAAGGAACCCTAAATATTTGGGCAGCAACTTAACTTATGCAGCAGTTCAGATTCTTTACTAAAAAAATGTGGAAAATAACATGTACCTTATGGAAAGAATTTTTAATAGAACAATATTCATAACAGTTTGTAAAATATGTAATGATAAAACAAATATACCTATTAGTTACAAACTACTTACATAAATTCTTATTATACTTATTATTATAAAGTAGATGAAATTCCTTACCAAGTATGAATTCCAATTGTGGTTCATTTGGGTTCTTCTGAATACCTATAAGTGACAGATGTAACGTTAGCTCTAAATATTTTATATTTTAATTCATTATCCATGACAAAATGCATTACTAAGTTTCACCTTGATTTTAGTTTATTAATCAGAACAAATAAACTTGAGCAATCAGGCCTCAGAGTAGAATGCTATTAGGACAGGGCATAATGCTGTAGCAGAACTTGTGACTAAAGTTTTTATTGGTCCATTTAGCTCCGTAAACATAAAGAAACATAGAAATATTGTTTTTTGTAACTATGACAAATATAAAACATATTTTTCAGCTGTGTTTGTTTCTTTTGGAAACATGCAGATAGAAATACAGCCTTTAAAAAGAGCCAACTCTCCAAAGTACTCTCTTAAACGGATTTTCTCTCATGCTACTCTGACCTGTTGTACAAAGAAAATCATTCAACTTCTCCAACAAGGCTCTGGTCGGTTTTGTGCTGGTACTAGGTACTGGTTATTGCTATTTTATTGAAAGGTTAAATCAAAATTCAGTTAATTGTTTCTACTCCTTTTGTCAGCAATGTGTAAAAAATTATAACAACGTGGCTAAATGATTTGAGATCAAGTAAGAGAAAAGTGAGTCTGAGAACAAAGGTGTCAAAACATAAATGTCTGATGGGCAGAACAGGGAAAGATCAGGCTTTAGTACATGATAATGTAGGTGCCAGTGACCACATACTATGCAGGGTCTTCCTGGATAAGAGTGAATGACTACTGGGAGTAAAAATAGGGTGCCATTTGTTACAATGCATGGGTGGCCAAAGAAGCAAAAATAAAATATGTGGAAAATTAAACCATTTGGCAATAATTGTAATGTTACAAAATTTTTTCCTTGTTTATTTATGCTAGTGCATTCATCAGACACTATTTAAATTTACTGGTATTTGGTCACTAATACATTTTAAACAACTCTGTATAAAAATCATGATTTTATTCACAGTGTTAACAATATTTTTGGCATTTATTTTTTTCCTTCCCGCTGACATCTAAGAATGCTATGGTTAACAATTTTTGATTTCTCAAAAGACGTTGTAGGGACAACCATAGATAGGTCTTTATAAAATTCAAATAGTCTGGAATTTTAAAAAAGGTTATTAAAAATTAACTGCTGTAACGATTACAAGCAAATTTTTTGAAAATGCATCCAAATGATACCATTCTCTAAAGAAAATTTTTATAATGTAAGTTAAATGAAAAAGTTAAGCATATATTTGTCAGTATTAAATAACTGGGCAATAGAAATCTTCAGAAAGAAAGAGACATATTACATACTAAACAAAGAATTCCAAACCCTAGACTTTTAATGATTGTTTAGAGTGATTTTAATTAATCAAGTACCACAAAAAAATAATTCTAATGATCAAATGCAAACTTGGCCAAATCTTCAAGGACGTTCTATCCATGCAAACTTATGCTCTCTGGTAGAGCAGCAACAGTCCCTATTATAGTGTCAAGGAGGTGTCTCTGAAGAATATTGGTGTGGTAATATACCATCAAGAGCTGGCTATACTATTTGGTATTTAACCATGTCATGTGCACCATCTGTCTTTATCCAAGGTAAAAGACATGCAGCACTTCACACACTCCCAGCACCAAAGAAAACTTGGTCAAGCAGCACATCTAGGTAATCTTATGCCATGCGTCTTAGTGCACATCAGTGTTTAGTCACCGCCACCTGCATCTTCAGAGAGTTACTGGGGCCACACACATACTTACTTGTGAACTGAGTGTCACCAGTATCATTGGCCTGGGCTGTTGGAAGGAACTGTTGGCCTTCCTCCGACGTTCCTTCCTCTTTGATTTCCATTGTCAACCTTCACAGGTATAATTTTCTAAGTATTCTTATCCCAATGTCACCTGCTACTGATTTCTAATTTAATACATGTGGATCTTCTCACTAAAGATCTGAGTTCTCACGGTGAAATTCTGTACAAGGAAACATCACAAGCGAAGACTTCAGTTACTTTGGAATTCAATGTAAAGCCAAAGGTAGCCAAGATAGAGACAATGACTGCTTCAGGTAAACTTCTTTCTTGCCTATTCCACTCATACTTTGAAGAACAACTCATATAATTAATTTGCCAAACACGAGGTTAAATGTGTTTCCAAGTAATTGTTAGCCACATGAGAGACTTCTAAATCCTGAAATGTAAACTCTTTCTAAGTTAATTCTGTAAAACAGCAGGTAGGTATTGGGGCTGCTTACTTAATATGCACCGAATTTAGCAGCAAGAGCAGACAGAATCTTGTCAAGGCATTAGCTTGTTTTGCAAGGTGGATATTACCATCATTTCTACCATTAGAATTGCCCTCTGTCCTCACTTCTCCATCCACACTTGTTAGAACATTATTCATGACCACATAAAGATAATTTGGCATGACACTCTTCTTCTAAAATGGGCCAACAGGTTGAACAGGAGAGTTTTCTAGCCTCATTATAACTCATAGAGTCTCTTGCTGTTCTGCCTGATAAAGGTTTAATTGTTTAATGATTGGGGTATATAGTGAAAAGAATGAATAATAACTCTAAAAAGCTAAGGCTCAAGGGGAAATGAAAGTAATAGCAAATTGATGAAAATTAGCATAGGGAAAGAAAGCCGCTCCAAAAATTTATGCAGACAGCCTCAAATAGTTACAAATTTATTTTGTTACTTAGCACAATATACATGACCAAGAATGAATTGAAAAAAAAATCAATGTTGTTTTAAATCAAGCTACCAGCTGAATTAAAATGTGTAAAAATCTTTAAGTGTCTACCCAGTGCTGTTTAATGAGATAGCAACAATTGAGCTTGGTTCGGAATACTGATGTGTTGTCAAACTTCACAAATCAACAGCTCTGCTTTTTGTTGTTCTTCACAAAGCAGCTTAATTTTATAATTCAGCTCCAGTCTTAAGAATCTTGCAAAAATTAAATCCAGAAAATGTCCCAAATCTTTAGAAAGCATTACACTGTAGTTGCAGGTAAGTACATATTGGTTTCTAATGATAAAAAGATAAAAATACTTTCTGGGGTAAATAGCTCTTGGGCCATCAATCTAACAAATCCAAATTTATGTTTTGAATTGTGATAATGGTCACTAATTTTTTTCTTTCTCTCTTTCTTTCTTTCTTTTTTGGCTCTTACATTTAAGTCTTCTCTGTAACAAACAGACATGTTCATTGCATCCTGCTTTCCAAAGGACAGATGCCAGGAGTGATCATACTTGTACCACATTGCAATTTATGTGTCATTTAGATATAAGGACTTTATTAACTTCGCTATATTTCTTGACCAGAAATTTAACCTTTAGCCCTCTCAAGCTACCTTCAGAGGTTGAAAGGAAACCTACAGAAGACAGTATGAATGCATCCTTGCAAAAGAGAAATTATGTAGAACAATGGTGAACAATTTGTGAAATAAATGTCAACTCTGAACTTGAACTTGTGTAATTTGTGGATGAGAGGACTGAAGAATATTCCTCCAGCCCAAACTAGTTCAGTAATGGAAAATAACTTCAAATTTATAGAGAATGGAGCCAACTAGACAAAATAAGCTTCGTGTATTGAACTTTGAGATTACATTTTCATTGTTCCTTTGTTGCACTGAGGATTAAATTATGCTTTGATATACTTGTTATAAAAATACATACGTTAGAAGAATCAGTAATGAAGCTCTAAAAACTACTGCATTTCAAACTAGGGCATTTGCCTGTCATTTTGGTGAGTGTAACAGTTCCTTTTCTGTGTCAATTTGGAAATTTTCTGGTTTTTATGATTATGCACAAGAACAGACTGTGGTTTTCACATACCGCAAGTATATTTACCAGGGACAACTTCGAAGGATCTTGACTACTCATTCCAGTTCTCACATTTTTTTGTCAAACAAATCACAAGCCAAAGGATTACAACACCCAGAAATTATTTTTGGTTCTCTCCTGCTCCCTTAGAGGAGACATATAATTAGTAGCTATAATTCAGCTATGTAAAATGGAACACTCTATCACACTGACCCCTGGAAAATGATATTTCCTAATATTCTGTACTCTACACTGAAAGGGCAATCTGAAATGGACATTAAAAAGGCCACACAAGGAGATTCTGGTTAATTAGGAAAAGATGACTAAAAACTAGACATTACATGATGAATGGGTAAATGTGATGCACCCAACAACAGAGACCTGCAGCGAGATACCGGTCCCTCCTTAGTGACAAGCAAATCACACAGCATCTTGATATCAGGACACAGAGATTTGGTGGTGAGCTGAAGTACAGAAGACAACGTTACAGAAATTTCCTGAGGTGTGAAATAGCATACTTCTTTCTACCATAGTGTCATATAGCACATTTCTTATCAAATCTGAGAATTTTTATGGACGTAAGTAAGAAAGATCAAGGAACTACAATAAAAATACAGAAGATGAAAGGAGGGAAAAGAGGTATCAGATCTCTTCATGATTACATATAACAAGTTGTGATAAGGGCAATCAGTCCACAAGTATTAAATAATGCAACTTTACTTAAAAGAGCCTTTTCCTTACATCATCTATAGATTCAAGATAGTTGTCATTTTCCAAAAGGAAAGGGGGCAAAACATTTAGGCTTGAGAGAGAAGGATGTGCTGAATTGGTTTTCTCTCATTCTATACTGCCAAGCTACACTTGGTGCATCGAATTGTAGAATTGTTATATAGTGAGCAGAATGTACTCCAGACATCCATGGAGGTAGAATCAGAAGTAGACATCGGTGAGGTGAAAAACCCTGGGTAGAACAGTCACAGTTCTCTGTAGGATGTGCAGGTCCAAAAGGGCGGCAAAGCCCGTTAGTAGATGGGGCTGAAATCTGAAAGGGGCCAACACAGAGCTTTCTCCCCAAAGCCTAAGAGGGTCCATGTGTAGGTGAGGGGGACCAGGGCTTCCATTTAAACCCAGCATCCCCTCTGCATGGATGGTCCTGAGGAGACTACCTGGCTTTCAGTAGACTGAAAGGAAGCAGTGCTGAAACCGAGCAAGTCAGCTTTGGGTTTCCTGACTTAAGAGTATGACAAACCTGCAGCAGAGGTTGGGATAATGACATCCCTGGCCAAGAAACAGACTGAAGATCTGCCTAAAACTCAGCGTTATCTTCCCTCCAAGCCAAAGTGAGACTCAGGCAGTGAGACAGTACAGGCTAGGGTGTGGTTACTCCAGACCGGCAGGGGGAGTGACAGAGCTAAGACTGCCATTCTTTGGTGGACAGTAACATTGTCCACCCAGTGACAGTGTGAGAATTTAAGTTTCACTCACCATTGCCACATGGGCATGTGAGACGCTCCTCACAAAGGGAGAAGTGGGGAAAGAGGAGTCAAGCTGAGAGAGATTAAATAGAATGAGTGTCTTCTAACATGGCCTTGATGGCTTTATGAAATATTGATTCAAACAGTAGAGGGGTGAAAGTGAAAACCACATTTATTTATTTATTTCTGTTTTGTTTTCCCGTGCTTAACCAGTAGGTATTTACAAAGTCACAGAAGAAAAAGAAGTTCCTTTCAGTGAAAGTGAAAATCAGTGAGGGTGCCACAAATTGAAATGTTTTAATTCAATAAGGTGATGTTTTATATAGGATATATTTTAGTATCTGAATGCATTTCTCCCTTTACAAGAAACAGATCAGCTGTAAACAGAATCGTCTTCCAAGTAGATAATAATAAATAAATGACTTAGAATCTGCCTTGAAAAAGTAATCAGGAGGAGAAAGTAAAGTGAATAATTAAAATGGAATATGCTAAGTGCTAAGAGAGGGGTATCGATTATCAAGGCGTGCAGCAGCAGGGAGGAGAACACAAACAAGAGATCCAATAAATCCAGGAAGTCTTCACGGGAGAGGGTCCAGGAGATTAACAAGGTGAGAGAGGTCCTGAGATTCCAAGGCAGCAGAGCAGGGGAAATAAGACAAGTTGCTGAACTGTTGTAGTTCATTTGGGCCAAATGTAATATGGGTTTTCCCACTCTGTTTTTGTTTTGATTTTCTTTTTAACAATACCATTTTTTCAGATAAAATCTAATGCGTGATATAATATATAAAAGTGATAACAGCAGAGCTGTGCTGCTGGAATTGGGACTGGTAGACACAGTCTGCCTTTGAGTTCAGCTTTTGGCCTTCTTCCTCTCAGGGATTTCATTAAATACCTTCCTGGAACTCAATTCGAAGATTTCCTGAGTTCCCTCCTACCAACCTCCCCTTCATCCTTTGTTCCCTTCCTCCCTCTCTCCCTCTTTTCCTCCTTCTTTGTATATTTGTTGTTGTTGTTTTTGTTTCTTAAAGGAAATGGGAATGCATTGCTGCCAGAGAATGATTACAGAGATAAGCAAAGGTCAGGTAGCAGAAGAGCTTGCAGGCCGAATTACAGACTGGGCTTACTGGTTAGAGCAGAAATAAGCCAGGTTAAATATACTTTAAGCAACAGAGTGACACAATCATATTTAAATTTTGGAAAGTTCACCAGAAGTATGTGCTAGGAGATGGTAATGATAAGGAAGGCAATCTATTTGGAGGTTGTTGTCACATTCCAAGGAAATAAAATAATGATGAGAAGCTAAACTAAGCTAGAAATAGATGAACAGAAAAAAGAACTACAATTCCAAAGAAAATGGTGACCTAAAATTAACTGGTGATAAAAGCAGATGGGATATTGAGAGTCAGAGTCGTGAAAAACAAGAAACTTGGTGACTCCCAATATATTGCAGACCACTTTGACCATCTGGGGCATACAGGAAGAGGAAGTTTAGTGCAAAATGCAAATTTAGTTTGAACTATATGGTTGTGACATGAAGAGATACTTAGAAAGTAAGTGAACACACATGAGTCTACATTCTCATGAATGACATTAAGGCTAGAAACGAATATTTGGAAATCACTAGCAAATCGTTGAGTCAAAACAAGGTCTAAAAAAATTCATGTAAAGAGAAG